TTGAAATATATAATAAGGCGTTACATTTTTAAGATATCTTTTAAATAATTTTATATGAAAATGATAATTTTTTTGTGAATTTAACTTAAAAATTAAAATTATTTGGAAATATTTATGCAATATTGCTAATGAGTGATTTCATGGTCATTCTGGAAAATGTTTTGGAGCATGTTTTTCATTAAATGTCATTCAATGTAGTTTTAAAATTTAAAAAAAAAAAAAAAAAAAAAAAAAAAAAAAAAAANAAAAAAAAAAAAAAAAAAAAAAAAAAAAAAAAAAAAAAAAAAAAACGGAATTTTTTAGCAGTTAAAGTGCGAATGATTCTTTCATTTTTCATAGCATTAATTTTGAAAGCGTATAAATAAATTATCTATAACTGTTAAATAAGAAACATTTCAGTGAAGCATTGTTTTAAAAAAAATTTAGATTTTTTAAGCGAAAATGTGAATGTAGACTGACTTCACTTTTACTTCACTCAAAAGGCAATAACCATTTAGATAATAGATAAAATTTTGTTACTTTTTGTCAGTGAAAGCAATACTATGTAAATAATAAAATTATACTCCTTGAGAAAAATAATACTTCATTATGGCGACTACCGATCAAAATAAATCCTTTTTTTAACGAAACAGTTCTAATTTTTCATTATTAGAACTGTTTTGTTAATAAAAAAATTAAAGAATGAAAAGAAAACATGAGTTACTCTCATAAAATTGCAAACTGGATTTCAAAACTGACTTCCTTTGTCTGGGGAAGAACACTTTGCTCTCTAAGCCTTTCCAGTTCCTCGTATAGCCCCTTATTATTCATTCAGAACTTAGATTCCCAAACGACTCCTTTGTGCAACCCAGTTCATTACAAACCAGGGCCGTATCTGGGAACATAAAACTAAAACTTAAGTCGACACGGAGAGTAAGGGCTAAGGGTAGTCGTAAAAGTAGGATTATAGAATGGATGTTTTTCAACACTGTGTTGGTTCACCTTTGCTTTTACGCTTTCCGAACTGTGTTTTTGTTGTCGGCAATCATGGTTTCTGTTTTTTGCTGGAGGTGCTAAATGATGCATGTTTTTCGGAAGAAAGATTTCGCGTTTCACATCGAGAGTGAATGATTGGCGAAGTTCATTATTCGTTGCTGTAACTAAAATAGCTTCTGTTTTATGATGCTTCGTATGTTTTTCGTTAGAACTAATTCACTATTGATTTAAGAATGGTGTTTGACTTGTTGTGATTGTTGTTTTAAATATAAACAATGTATTGCAATAGTTAAGAATTTTTTTATTTGCAGATTTAGGTTTCTTTTAAAAAAAAATTCATTATTAGTATAATATGAAGATGTTTTTTTTGTTAATCTTTATAAGTTTAGAGAAAATGAAAAGATTTAAGAAACGAACTAAAATGAACAAAATCGTCTTTAAGTTAAAAAAGAAATTCAATTCTGTAACTTTGTATACCGTTATGTGATCAGCTGTTGGTTTATTTCTATGCATACTGTTTTCTTTTCAAATCGCCAAACATTACTGAGGCTCCCGATTTTAAGCTATTACTCAAACAGGATATAAAACTGTCGCCTTATCTGGTGAAAAACAGTTTGTTTTCTAGGCTTTCGACTTACTACGGTCGGAACGAAAATTCAACTAGACATTAGAATAAAATATTAAGAAACAAATGCGCGAAATATAAGTATTGAAATATATAATAAAACGATACACTCTTAAATTATCTTTTAAATAATTTTATACGAAATTGATAATTTTATGTGTATTAAATTTTAAAATTACGTACTATTTGCAATTACGCGCTATATATTGCTAACCAGTGATCCCATGACAACAGGTAAAAAAATTTTAGACCATTTTTGTCATTAAATGTTTTTTAATATAGTTCGAATTTTTTTTAAAAAAGAAAGGATTTTAAGCAATTTGAAAGCGTACAATTCTTTAATTTTTAAAACTAATGAATTTTTTAATCGTGTAAAAATAAATTATCTGTAATAATAACAAGCGAAAGACAAATTTTGAGCAAAATATAATTTAAAAAGTTAAAATTTTATCATGCTTTTTAAAACAAAAATCAAAATATTGACTTAATTCCCTTCTACTTCACTCATAAGGGTCATTTAGATAATATATTTGCTTTTATTACTCTTTGTCAGTGAAAAGTAATATTATGTAAGTAATAAAAACTTACGCATTGAAAGAAATAATATTTTTTGTCTGAAACTTCATTTGCGGCAACTGCCGATCAAAATAAATCATTTTTAACAAAACAGTTCTAATTTTTCAACTTTAGTGACTCCCATAAAATCACTAACTGTGTTCGAAACTGTCTTCCTTTGTCTGGCGTAGAACACTTTGCTTTCTAAACCTTTCGACTTTCTCGTTTAGCCCCTTATTATTCATTCAGAACATAGATTCCCAAACGACTCCTTTGAGCAACCCAGTTCATTACAAACCAGGGCCGCATCTAGGAACATAAAACTAGAACGTAAGTCGACACAGGGAATAAGGGGGTAAAGGGTCGTAAAAGTAGGATTATAGAGTGGAAGTTTTTCAACACTGTGTTTGTTTACCTTTGTTTTCACGCTTCCCGAACTGTGTTTTTGTTGTCGGCAATCATGGTTTCTGTTTTCTTGGAGGTGCTAAATGATGCATGTTTTTTTTTGGAAGGAAGACTTTGAGTTTGAGAGTGAAAGATTGGCGTAGTTCGTTATTCGTGGTTGTAAGTAAAATAGCTTCTGCTTTATGATAATCTTCTAGTTTATGATGTTCTCGTTGGAACTAATTCGCTATTGGTTTAAGAATGGTGTTTGTCTTGTTGGGGTAGTTTTTTCAAGAATAAACAATGTACTGTAATTGTTGGAAACTTTTTATTTGCAAATTTAGGTTTTCCTTTAAAATTCATTATTAATATAGCATGAAGATGTTTTATTTTTTGAGATTATCTTTATAAGTTTAGAAACCATGAGAATATCTAAGAAGCGAATTAAAATATATTGAATGGTCTTGAAATTAAAAAGAAATTTAAATTCCAAAATTTCGTTTACCTTTATGTGATTGGTTGTTGGTTTATTTTCATGTATATTGGTTTATTTTCACATCGCCAACTATAACACGGACCCCGATTTTAAACTATTACCTAAACTGAATACGAAATTGTCGTCTGATCTGGCGTAGAACAGTTTGTTCTCTAACCTTTCTATTTAACTATGATCGGAACGAAAACTTTGGACATTAGAATAAAACATAAAATAATGAGCGAAATATACGTATTGAAATACATAATAAAACGATACGTTTTTAAATTATGTTTTAAATAGTTTTATATGAAATTGATAATTTTATGTGTATCGAATTCACATTTTTTTCAAATATACCTTTTAAAATAAAACAGAATTGTAATAAAAATAACAGGAAATTTACAATAAAAATAATTAAGTCTAATTCAATATATAATTAAACCCAATAAATCGTCATTTATGACGTTTTATATATTAAATTTTATCACTACTTTGCAACTTTATTTTACAATACTGCGGCATAATGATTTTTGTTAAAGTGTATAAAGTGTTAAGTGAAATAGTTCCTTATTTGATATTTAATGGTTTTTAAAGAACTTTAATTTTATCGCTTATGAAAAATTTTAAAAACTAGATAGATAGAATTAATTTTTAAAACTGGCAAACAATTAAAAAAACATCTGTTTTCATACGGAAAAGGGATCAAATTTCAGTTTTATAATTGCGTTAAATATAAATTTGCATAAATAATAGGTAGACGTTACGTAAAGGATTCTAGTGTAGAAAGTAAAACCAAAGATAGGGTAACGCGATATCAAATTTTGAAAAAAAAGGGAAAGGAAAATAAAATAGAAACCGTGCTGGGTTTTCCACCCCTGAGGGGAACAGGAAAGTGTATTTTTTAAGCCTTAGAAAATGGTGAAATATGACTTGTTTGGTTTGTCACTTCAGCTTAGTTAGAAAGTTTAACTTAGTTAATGTGATATAATTCAGAACATTAGAATTGACATATTATAAAATACCAACATTTCATCATCATATATTAGCAAAGTTTTACAGAAAAACATCATTTATACATGGAGAAGAAATTCTGGTAAAATTACTGTGCTGCATGATAATGACATTTCTGGTAAAATAAATCTTGATTCTGGTTACTCAATCTAAAATATCCAAAATATCCGGCATTTAAACCATTTATTTGGTACTTTTTTCGTTTATATGGTATTGGTTTTTAGGAAATTCTGGCTTTCAAAATTCAATTAAGTGAGCAATACAAAACTGAAAGAAAATTGAACCAAATAAATGGTTTTTATGCCAAGCTTAATTAAGGTTAACCAAATAATAAAAATAACGTTAAAATAACCAAATTTTACCATATTTACTAAATTTTATCGTTTATTGTATAACTAGATTTTATCGTTTATTGTATTACTAGATTTTATCACTTATTGCACGACTATATTTAATTGTTAATTTTGCTAAAAATATTACCAAGGCGCTTTGATAAAAATTGCCAAGTTTTTTGGCGTTCTTATATAGTCAGAAGCAGGGTAAATGTTACCATATTCTGGCAGTTTTGACCATAATTGTTTTCTCAGCCTATTTAATGGTTCAAAACGAAATGCAAATTGTATAATTAGAAAGGTTGTATAGATAAGTTTTATAATCGGTGACAAGACACAGTTGGAAAGAAATTCAACTTGTTCATATAACTTTCTCTTTTTTTAATTTTTCCTATTCTCATCTTTAATATTACAGTATTTCACTATTCTGTATCTTGGTATTGCTTTATTGTATCGAAGCGGTAGTCAATCCACAATTATTTTTATGTCAGCTATTTACATTGCATTATACGTTTTTAACTCAAGTAAAAATAAAATTTCAATTATCTGTAAATTAAATTAATCTGCTTAAGTTAATATATGAAAATATCGAATATTTTTATAATTTATTTTAAAAAGTATGCTTTATTCTCCGTTTTAGTTACAGGCTTCGAATATCTTATTCCGGTTTATCATCCGACGTTGTTCCATGGATGTCAGATCCAATTACTGTCAGTGAAAGGGAACTGATTCTCAAACCATCAGGTCGAGTACCACCTTTGAGCCCCCGAGAGAATTATACCCTCTCCCCATCTGCGGGAGTGATTATTTTCGATGTTATGGACAATGCTCCAGCGAAAAAAGCATATCTGAAAGTAAGTATTGTTTTAGTTTTGAAGAATAATTCTGCAGAAAATGTGAAAAGCAAGATTTGTTTTTATGTAGCATTCTGACTAAGGCAATTGTTTCCGTGAGTCAGAAACTGTCTAATTCATTATAAATTTACTTTTGGCAAAATTGGGTTAATCTTATTATATATTAATTGCGTTAGAGGAAAGGTGCTTAATGTAGGCGAAGGAGATAAAGGACTCAACCAAGGTTGCTTGAGGACGAAGTAAGAAAACTGAAACCTTCAAATGGATGTAATTTTCCTTGATAAAAAAAAGCTTAATGCCCGTAATTGTAACGAACATCAGCAAAATTTATAGAATTTACTGTTAATTTTAATACATAATAGCAAGCCGGGGTGGCTATGGGGATAGAGCACTCGCCTCCCAATGAGGTGACCCGGGTTATCCCAGCAACGACTGGTGAATACGAATTCCACACCCGGCTCGCACCGATCACAGTACTGATGTAAAATATCCTCAGTGTTAAACGGATCATGGGTTGGAGTCCCCTTGCCGTCAAGCTAACCGCGGGAGGTTTTTGTGGTTTTCCTCTCCATGTAACGCAAATCCGGGTTAGTTCCATCAAAAAGTCCTCCACGATGACAAATTTCTCCCAATACTTGATGCAGGAGTTCTCTTGTCCTCCGGATTCTGTTCAAAATGACAAGGCTACGGACTTGAACATTAGCAGTCGTAAACCCAAATAATTGAGTCTGCTGTTTAACGACGGTTATAAAATAAAATAAAATTGGATGTAGAGCAAGCATGATGTTTGAAAATTATTCCGTTGTTGATTTTCTTAAGTTAACCATTGAACTGTATTAGTCAATTGTTGTTGAATACCTTATAGTTTTTTTGGTATTCCTTTTTGTTATAAAACTGTCCATGAATAGCCTAGGTTAGAAATAATAACAATCAAATCGTATGTATTTAAAATCTTTCGGAACTATTCAATGTAAGGAGATTTTTCTATACTGTAAAAACTGCGATGTTTCACCAATTTAGATGTTGATCAACCCAAAAAACCGTGAGAAGAAACTCTTTATTTTAGGTAAATACCAAATCGATCTTTCATATGCAGTGCAAAGGATGTCATTTAAATCCAATCACTTATGATGGAATAAGCTTACACCAAACATTCGCCCAATCATATCAAACGGAATTATTTTCACTTCTAAATCACCGATCTAATTGAGCTTTGAATATTTTCTAGCGATTTTGAATACCATCTTAATATTATTGATTAAGATAATTAAAAACGATAAATATCTATTAAAAATTATTTTTCTAAAATTCCATTTCTCAGGAACTGTTCAACCGATTTCGCACAAATTTTGTTATGTAAAATTACGCATTTTAAAATGGTATAAAAATTTCGCACCTAAGAATTCGAAATTTCGTTCGCCTATTATTAAATAAAAGATTAAAAAAAAAATACTTTCTGAAATTTATTATTTGCATGAGATTATCTTTGGACAAACAAATTTTATAGTCGTGTGCGAAACCTTTTCAAAAGAACCCGGAATATGGCAAAATATGCAAAAACTAAAATTAACCTTAAGGGTGTCTAAACATTGGACCGCTCTCTTGACCAAACTATGGGAACCCTATTTACCAAATTACAGCAACCCCCTATATTTTGGAGAATCAGAAATCGGAATCTGAAGATAAAAATGTAGGTTTAATCAGAGAAAGTATGTTTTTGTGTATGATTTTATAACTTAAATATCGCCTGCGCTTATTAATTACCATATTTGAGATTACCCCCTCGAATCATCAAGATTGAGTTCTAGAACGTGAAGATTCATCCATTAGATGAAAATTTATTCAGGATGGTCCGTTTTGTTTGATGCACCGTATGTACATTGAGTGTAACAATTTTTTTTGTTCTGATCTAAATTTTAAAAATTACTTATCATATTAGGAAACATTTCTCTATATGTTTTCATTTATTGTTAGCAATACACTTGGGAAGGAAGCATTAGCCTGTTGTATGATGACGTATATTCAGGAACACTCTTAGGTTCAACATATAAATTGATAGAAGATGGTTCCAATGAAATTCTATTCAGTGATGTCATCATTTCGAGTTGGGGATATTCTTACATTTTAAGAATCAGGGTGAAAGCCAGAGAGTCATCACTTTGGAATCTTTCTTGTTTAATCGGTAAGACCAATTCTTTTTTTTATTCATATAATTCACTAGAAGACTAAGCCCCAGTTCACTACCGTTCACCAACCCCGATGATTGCGTCACAATAATTATTGTTCCTTGAATAAAACAGTTTTCTTTCTACGGAAGTTGTATGATAGTAGTTTATAATACTATATGCATAAGTAATTTGCGCCAAACAATAATAGTCATAAATTTAAACATCGATTTAAATAATTTTATCTTTAATGTAATATTACATTGTAATAAAGAACTCTTTTAGTTTTAAACACTTCATTTAGAAAACAATCAAAATCAGAAACATAATCATAGCATAGAATATGAAAAATAAACTACAGGTAAAATACCTTTAAATTTGAAATAAAAAAACATTTTATAGGAAAATGATACCTTTATGACTTTTACTAATTTTATCCTGGTGACACTAAAAAAATATGAAAATTTAATTATTTTATTATTAATAATTTTATCCTGATGGCATCAAATAAATGTGAAAATTCATGTGGGAAAACTGGATGTGATTTTTCATATTTTACTGTAATTTTTACCTTAATTTATTTAATTATAGAGATTCAATGATTACGGTAATTAATACTATAAGAATTACGATGTATGAAATTTTTTGTTCCGTAACATGCTTTTGCAAAAATGGATTTTATGGTAAAAAGTAACGGCTCTTAGACTGCTGGTACTTTTTACCGTAATTTGATCCGGAATTTTTTACAGTGTAATGATCTATAGCAAATAGCATAGGGGACGTATTACTACAGTAAACTCTCTACGTTTATAATTTCCCGGGGTTCTTCTTTATTGTATTTCAATTATGCAAATCACATAGTTGCTGATACATCAAATATTAAGTTATTTAAAATGAAATTCAAAATTTTTTTTATCAGGACCATTTGACGTTGACATGTTGGATACTTTTGAACTTCCGTTAATTGAGTCATCAGAATTTCGTCGCGTCCAAGTAATTTACGACGGAAGTTTCCAAAAAGTGGAAGAAGATGAAGCGAAGTTTAAAATATTCTTCTTGAATTTTTTTGGCCGAAGATATCCCAGGGTTAGATGGCAAAACGTAACTGTTGCAGAAGGTAAGCATCTAATGTGCTTAGGTTAAAACAACAAAGGAAACAATTTTATTTATTTTATTCTCTGCTTTAAACTATTAATTGTGAACTATTTTATTTCTATAATTCAGGTAAAATTAGTGTACTATATGGTAAAGACAATTCTGGTATGAAAAATCTAATTTTGGTTAATAAAACCAAAAACATAAAGTGTTTAAACCATACATTTGGTAATTTTTCCATTCATGTGGTAATGGTTTACCGGAAATCATGGTTTAAAATAAAGGTTTTTTTCTTTACTACACATGTAGTAAAATATACAAATCTGAAAGTAAAAGCTGATGTGTCTTACTCTGTAAAAATCTGTTTAATAAAATTATTAATCTGTTAATTTAAAAAAAAAATTCACTTGGTGTGCAGGTATAAAACTGTTTACTTCACACAAAAATATTATTATTTAAAAACAGACTCTTGTTGTTTCAACAGATTAAGACTGTTTTTTTAACAAATAAACTCCATTGTTTTAAGAAAGAAACTTTGTTATTTAAACAAAAAGAAATCAATAAAATAACTATATCAACATTGTGGTCAGTGCAAGTGAAGAGTAGCATTTGCGCGACCAGAGGACAGTGGAAGTTGAACCAAGGATACCGCATTGGGACGTAAGTGTTCTGTCCTCAGAGCTACAGCAGCTCCTGGTGTCTCAGGACCAAGAAGTATCTTAAAGTGTTTTTTTTTATCTTAAAAGTCTTATTAAAATAATATTATAAGTGTAAAATCGTTTAAATCTATGGTTGCCTCTCCCTATTAAAATGTCTGGTAAGTTTACTTACCCAAAAAATTAGATCTAAAAAAATTTAATAATCAGGTAGTATATCAATTTGACAAATAAATTGAATCGCAGTTTCAATTACATGATGTTCAAAATCATAAAATAATTTCTGAAAAATACTATAAAGTACAGAAAATAATCGTAAAAGGATTTGAAAAGAGGTAGATAGTTATCCTCATAACGAGAACGATTCAAAAGTTTGAGTTTATTGAAAGGTAAAAAAATCTTCGAGAATGCTTGCGCAATTTTAGTCATATTTTGTTAATAAAAATATTATCTGCATTAATATAATAAGCATGTTTAAAGCCTACTCCTTTATATATTAAGTTTGCAAGCATTATATCTGGAAACCCGATGATTAGATCAAATGTCATCGATTCTTTATCATACTGAATATGACATTTGATGATTACATCAAATGTCAAATTCAGTATGATAAAATGCAGCAAAATTTTATTTTGCTGCATTTTATCATACTGAATATGACATTGATCCTAAATGAAATTCATGCTATATGACATGACATTCATGATCTATGGAATTCATGCTAACATTTCAAGTTTATAGATATTCATATTACTTACGTAAATTTAAAAAATTTAATCCTGGATAAAAACCAAGAAAATACAGCTCAAAGCACAGCCATTAAAAATAGAAAAAAATTTAACATTCCATTCATATACTTTCATTATAAGGACCTCACAGCTTTTAACATTGGGATACCGAAAAATTAATTATAATTACAACTGCATAAAATAATTAAATTATGGCTGTAATTATTAATGTATGGATAACTTATACTTTTAAAGGCAATGAAGTAAATATAGATCAATTGTTTATTAATCCATATCAAAGTTTCACGAGATATAGTCATGGCAACAAACGCAAACGAATAAAATAAAATATTTCTGTGGAAGTATGATATTTATTTGTGAGTCATTCATATTTTTATTATGAAAATAATTTTTTTTGTATTAGGGATACAATTTTAAAATTTTAAAATATAGCGGCTTCTGCTATAAATTATACAACAAAAAACACTTTTGCCAAATATAAGACGGCATTTTTTAACATGCCCTTAAAACTCTGTGTATGATATTATTATCAAATTTTGATCAAAAATCCTAATTCGTATTTAAAGAAAATAAAATTTTGAATATTTGCTTTATTAGTTTAATTAAATATACATAAAAATATATCACACATTTAGCTGATCTCTCTGGACTATATGAACAAAAGATAAGCTTCAATATTAAATGAAGTATGATCTGAGCATGCTCTTACTATAGTATTCACGACATCATTTAAATATAATTTAATTTGCGGTGTGTTCCGTTATTTTTCATTAAGGTCACAAACTAATATTTAAGTGAAAAATAAAAACAAAACAAATATGCTATTAAATTTTAATGAAGCATGACTGCGCTCATAATTAGAGTAATGAAGGAATTAATCTACAAAAATTCTGTCTACTTCAGTACTCGATGAAGCGCAAACTTTGATGAGACCCTCCAGATAAACAGACAGATTTTTTATGAATTTATTTTCTCCTTTGCTTTGATCAACGTTAGTTTATGATAAACCATACACTGTTAGGAATTTCTTGTCAAAAATGGTTAAATTACAATTTATTAAAATGTTATTTTACCATACTCAAACAAAAATGTCAAATAATCATAAATAAGATGGTATTCAAACTGTTAAATGTGAGAAAAACGGTTTAATAACTTTTTTCACCTAATACGGTTAAACTACCAGAATTTTATAGCACTCACTAGGCCCATCTAATAAAGCCACTTAGTTCCTTACGGCTGGGTTCGTATTATAGCTGAAAGGACTGATCTGTCAACCTCATAACCGATAGAATGGGAGTGTTGACACCACAATATTTCTCCCATTCCCTTCAACACATAAAGAGTTTCCGATGTCCTGTACTTCCGAACTTGGTGCAACCTTAATCCAATACCCATTACTTAACGAAAAGCTTAGCTCCAATTAAATTTCATTTTTACCTTTTTGAAGCCATGCTAGTTGTAAATGGCTAAAAAACTGTATAGTTTCGTATTCATGGTTTTTTTAACCATGCGAGTTGTAAACGGTTTCAAACTATAATGGTAAAAAATGTTTTTTACTGTAATTGGTTGAACAGACTGCTGCCGGTTATTTTAGAATGAAAATTTTAACAGTGTAGTCTTACAGTGCATCTTTTTTTCATTCAAATAATAATTTGTAAATTCTAACTGGAATATTGTTTGTGCAAAAAGTTTAGAACTATATCTTATGAGTAAGTTTTTTGCAACCTTTCGCATAATCAAAGGATAAAAATAAATTTTATTTCAATGAGGAAAAGTCAGTTGTTTTAAGAGAGTAAAAAATGTACGAAACTACTAGAAAAGAGGACAAACTTTAATGTTCAAACGATTACTGTAATGGTTGATATGTTTTATGTGAGTGTTTATATCTTATAACAGCATATATAGAAAAAAGTGAAATTAATTGGAAGTACATATTAAAAAATTTGAATTTGTTACAAAAATAAAAATCTATGAATAACGTTTAGATTGTTTCATACAAGCACTTAAGTAGTCCAAAGAACCCCTATAAGCCTTATTTATCTTTATTTAAAAATAATATAGCTTATAGTCTAAAAAATCTCGAAAAAAATGTTCAGCAAACTCAATATTTCTGTTATAAAACCATTTAAACTAAACCCATATAGTTCGTTTTGTTTTTTCGTTTTGTTTTTTCTTTAGTACAATTACGTGAATGTCAGGTATGTTTTGATTTAATTAAAATAGAGGATGGAAGGATGTGCCTGTAGTTACCAAAAACGAACCGTTGGGTATTTAAAAGTAAACACTACAAAAATATCTTAGTTACGCAAAAGATTGTACTAATATAAATTTAATAAAAAACAGTTCTTCCTCTGGATAATTGCTTCTTGCTTATTGTTTTTATCCTAAATGGGAACTAATTAAAAGAAAGAAAAAAAATTGAAAGGTAGAAAAGCAATTTTCAACCTAGATAAGAGCATCTCGTTATTTTTTCATCTTAAAAGGTAATCAACAAAAGATATATGTTTAATACAGTATTAAGATCAGAAAGAAGAAATTTGATTACCGTTTGTAACAATATACATAAATTATTCTGTTTATTGCAATATTTTTATATTAAGTATAAAATTGCAATTAAAGCATCTGCATTTTCCTTAGAATTCTGATTTAGTTTTTTTCACATCAGAAAAAAAAATGAATATCTAAACACCTATGAAAACAATCAATAATATAAACAGCGATGAGATAATGCGATTTTTGATTCCATAGCGACAGCCAAACAAACGAAAATTAAAGCCCAATATTCTAAATCAGATTGAGTCTATATTTCCAATTATAATAATGTATTGAATCACTTAACCTATTGTGCTTAGAATCTTTAATAATTTATTTTGCATTCCAGTCAAAGCAAAATTATGAGTCACATACAATTCATTCCAATTTTTTTTTCAAAGAATAATATTTTTTTACTCAATACGTAGATTTGATAAAATCAATTGCGTCTCTTTAAGGGAGTGTTGTGGTGGATGCCGTTATTACAGGACTTACTGAAGACTTGGAAAAAACTACAGAAGCATTGTCCATCGACATAAGCAGCGGAAAAGCAGATGTAGAATATGAAAATAGCAAAACTTGGAAAGCTAGTAGAGTTTACGTTCCATCAAGAGTAAGAGCTATTTTTTTCTTTTTTAAATATACAGACAATTTGCCTCTAACATATCTCCTTTAGATAATTCCCCTTCTTTATATTTTTTGACCAGTAATAATACAACTCGTTTAAAAAATTTAAACTGAGTAATTGTATTGTTGTGCTTTGATATTATTTTTTCTATTGAAAAGACAAGCTTTATAAAATTATCAGGTTTAAAAAATAAACTATTAAACTTAATAATCGCGTCGTAGTGTGGCAACATTATTTTTTTAAAAAGATAAAGTTTAAAAAATTAATAGGTTTAAAAAAAATTTAACTGAGTGATTGCATAGTAGTGTAGTAATATTACTTTTGTTTATTAAAAATTAACTATATAATATTTACAGGCTTATGAAAATTCAAACTGATAGTAATTGCGTCGTAGTGCAGTGATATTACTTTTTTTTATTAAAAAAATTAACTTTATAAACTTAATAGGTTTAACAAAATTAAACTAAATAATTGCATCATAGTGTAGTGATATTGCTTTTCTTTAATTAAAAAATGAACTTTATAAAATTAATAGGTTTAAAAAAATTTAACTGAGTAAACCTCAGTATCTGAGTAAAATTTCATCGTAGAGTAGTGATATTACTTTTCTTTCAAAAAATAAACTTCATAAAATTATTTCTATAGAATTATCCAATTCATATTTTTTTACATTAGAATTAATGCATAGAAACCAGGTTCTACGGCAATTCAAAATTTCAAAAGCTATGTTTTTATAATATCGAATTAATTGGGAAAAATTATAAATAAAACGTTGGAAATACGACCAACTAGTTTTTAAAAATAAAAACTTGATTGGTATTCTGAAAATTCCTTCTAGCTATTTTTATACATTTAACATTTAAAGTAGTTTTTTAAATTCAATATTAATTAAAAAAATCATAGAAGTAATTTCGTCATTATTAAAGCAAAATAAAGTCTGTAAATACACTTCTTACTTTTAAATTAATTCATTATTTATTCACGAATTTATATTTATTGGAATAAATACGATTTGTTAAAGAAACTGCAATTTTTACAGAATAAATGCTGAAAGTTGAAATGCTTAATACATATAAAAAGAGACATATTAAAAATTTGAATAGTAATTAAAACAATCTTTTTTAATTATCATTAAGTATCAAGTGTGGAATTCTCTGAGAAAAATGGAAGAAAATTTCGAACTATATTTGCATTAAAACGAAAAAAGTAGTCTCTTTAAATATTTGCACAGGTCTAGACTGTACAATTCATGATCGTTTTTTAGAACAAAGTAAGTTTTTAGTTGGATGATTGGGCTATAGTTGATATTCTTAATTTGTTTTAAGCTTTTTGTAGAAAAAATGAATTCACAGAACTAGTGTTGGCAGAGACATTATCAGAGTTATAATTTGTAATTATTTTAGTGATATGATTGTATACTGAGAAAAAAGTATCTTAAAAATTACCAGAGTAGGGTAAAATTTACAGTGTTTCTGGTTCTGCGGGAACACCAAAAAAGTTTGGTAATTTTTACTGAAGCGCTTCGGAAATGATTTGGATTCAGTGAACAAAAATATAGTTTTGTAGTATCTGATGAAATTTGGTAATTTTGCCTTAACACCTTATAGCGTGGCATAAAAACTATACATTCGGTTTAATTTACGTTTCAGTTTTGTATTTTTTAAATATATACGAACTATAATTTGAATGGGTTTAAATACCGTATATTTAAGCTTTATTAAACAAAATTATGTTTTTTTTCTTTTTTTTTTCCACCAGAAATGCCATTGCTATCGACTACGGTAATTATATCTAATTTTTTTTCTCCGTGTAAAGAACTATATATTTTTAATAAATTGAAATGAATCATATTAAGTAATATAGCAAGAATATTTAAAAAATAAATTAAATTTGATTGTTATTATAGCCTTAATTAGAATTTATAACAAAAAGTTTGAATCAATGTACTAACATAGGCTTGATGAAAATGGTGGTGATAAGTTAAACAGTATTTTTACTCTATAGTTTCAGTATCATATTCTGTAGTTACAATATTTAGTTCACTTAACAGGATAAAATTTTGTTAGGTGTATGAATTTTAGCCAAATTATGTGACGAAAATTTATATAACGTGTTCAAAACCTGAATTTCAAACAACTTTCATTATTAGTAAATGTTTTTAGTTAAGTAGTATTTTTGCTTATTTAAAATGTTCGCCTTTTTTCATTTAAGGAAAATTGACCGAATAATTAACGAAAAATAAGAATTAAAAAAGCATGCTTGCTTAAATTCTATTTTTAAATTGATAGAATATACAATCTTCAACAACGAATACAATTAAGCTTTATATAGATATTTAACTAAATGTAATTAAATCTAGAAATTAATTCTTAAATTTGTTCTGTTCTTCACACATTATATATAAAAGCAAATACGTTATGCATGTGGAAATTATTTGGCTTTAAGCCAAATGTAAACAATATGAATGACTCAGTGAGTTTTTTTTTCATTTTAAAAATTAATGTTGCTTTCAGAGGCAGGTGTTATTAGTTGAGACTATTACAAATAAATAGTTTAAAGTAGTTATTTTTAAGGTTTTCTTTTATGGGATTTTACGCATTGATAATAAAAAAAATAATTAGGCGCATTTATTCACCTATCCTGGCTGTTGTTTCTCACTCATCATTGTTTTTTTTTATAAAATTCAAAATTTTCCACTACAGTAAGAAAACTTTTGTAAATATTTATTGTACTTTTATGTATGAACCTTTTGTCAATACGTTAATCGTAACTAAATTAACGATTACCTGGATTTAAAAAATAATCACCTGCACTTGAAAAAAAATAACTTAAGGAATACAGATTATGTGACTAAATAAAAAAATGAATTAGATGCAATTATTTCAGAAGTTATTAGTTTTTCTCGGTAACGAAACTTATGGCAGTTCAAATTGAGAATGGTTTTTATCTCTCTGTATAAATATTTTTTAGTTTTAAAACTTTTATATAGTTATTAAATGAAAGTATGTTTTCCATTATGTGCTAGTAAATGTTAAATTTAGCACTTGTTATATTCTGGTAACATCTGATTTCTCTCTCTTAACATAAATGTTGACATCTAGTCAACGACAGCCAGTCACATAAATGAGCAAGAAAAATATTTTTTTACAACATTTGATAAGTAGTCAATATTTAAAATAAAAATAACGCGAAAAAATTCAGGATAAAGTGCTTAAACTTTGAATAACTCTTTTGATTGACAAATTGGATAAAAAAGTAACTAAACTCTGTAGTTAAATTTCAGAGGGCAAGCAGTCATCTCACATGATTTCTTTGTGGTATGATAATCCAGTTTAATAATTAATAATTTTCAATTACTTTTACATTAAAACACAAAATAATATTTACTAATTTTTTTATCTTTTCATACTCCCTGTAGATTTTTCTACAACTCATTATAATTTCAAGCTTTTAAGTTTGATAGATTTTGCATAGCTAAAAAAAATTGTAACGTAAAAAAAAGCGAGAGAAGAAAAATACAAAATTTTTTAAAATTGCAATATTTTTAAAAAAAGGTCGGATTTTTGAAAGAAACTCGTGCTGAATTCAAAAACGAATGCACCCTCTTCAGAGCGTCAAATGACAACTCTGTTATTTGCATTTCTTTGGTAAAAATTTTTACTTCGAGTTAAACATATGATAATTTTTTGTGCTGCAAAACAAGATGTAACTAAAAAGTTAAATTACAGCGGTGGTAATGACCCATTTTAATATGTGTCTTTAAAATTCATTTCTTATAATGAATTCAAATAAGTATGTTTGTTAGGGATCTTAAGTTATTATTTATATAAAAAATACAGGAAACCTCAATCAAAATTTTAGGAAATATTAAATTTATTTTAATTTTGCTAGTAAAGAAGGGGGGGGGACAGAAATATCAAAAACTATTTTATTTTTGAAGGAAGCAGAGTGGAGAAAGAAATACACCAAATAGAGATACATCAAATTATGACAGGTAATCAAACTGGTTTTGACATTTGGAGACTTACCTTCCCCCGTAATGATTTGTTATATCTTGATAGCAAATTTGCTTATTCATAGTTTAAATATAACTGCAGTTTTTTAATGATAGACTTTTTCACTCCCTTTTTTTGCTACAAATGTAAAAAAAATATATTATGGACAATCATCAAGGATGAAAAAGTAAATTTTAATTTAAATAGGTTAATAAAGATTTTATACCAAAAAGAGGTTTGATAATTTTTTTAAAATTAAAATGAAACAAATTGTGAAGCATATTTATCATTTAACACGATAAAAATATTTTTCTTTAAAATAATTTGATAAGTAAGTATCACGGTAGTAAGTATCAAGTTCAAACTTGATACTTACTACCGTGATACTTACTTATCAAATTATTTTAAAGAAAAATGCTAGCGATTTTAAACTAAGCTTCAATAAAAGGAATTTTAATAACCAATTGAATTACAAAATTTTATAAAAATATTGAATCTGAGCATTTGCGTCATATTTTTATATTTTATTTTATTTTAGAAACTATTAGAAGAGAACGAAAATACCGAAACTTCGGATGAAGGTGGTGGACTATCAGTGGCATGGATTGTGGCAATTGTGATCAATGTCATTCTAATCGTCATTTTCATCATCGCCATTATCTACTGTTGGCATCGAAGAAAGAAACGTAAGATTTATCATCGCATTGATGCAGTTATAAATAACTTATAGTAACCATATACTTTTAAATGATCACAAATCTAAATTATTTTTAAAATAATGATTTATTTTTCTTACTACTGTGCATTATCCTAGACTTAAAACTACTTTACGAATTATCCGAACGATGTTATTTTAAAGCACAATTAAAAAAATGGTCTCCCATCAATAACACAACTCAGATTCACGCAAAAATTATGTAATATAGCTTTGGGTATACAAATAGGGTGTTCTGTAAAACATTTATTATAAGAATTTAAATTTGTTTTTGGAATTCTTAACAAAGTGAAAACAAAAATAGTATACACATTGGAGGGTCTTTAAAGCAACGAAATTTAAGAAGAAAAAAAATCGCTATTCAAAATCTGACATATTGCAGTAGAGAAAGATTGATGCAATAAGCATTAAAACAGAATTTTGTTGCAGTTTGAAACTTGACGGCGTTTCTCACGATCGTCTTTTAACTTCCATCTGTTTCTTCCCGCAATATAATCTGTTTTGTTGTTTGTTACTACCATCTTCCTGTACTGTGAATTTTACGATTTCGATATCGTTTTTAATTCTTCTAGGTAAAATATTGATTCCTGATCCTGTTAAGGGCATATTTCTTCAAGGATTCTAAATATACACATTGAGGATGGACTTCTCAGAACACTCTGTATAACACAAGCGTACAGATGTGTTTAATAAAAAGTCAGAAATTCAAAGGAAAAAAAATGTGCTAATTTGAAACATAAAATTCTCCCTTAAGTTTCATTGCTTCTTTATGTTTAAAAAATATTTTTACGAATAATTTTTGTTATTTGAGTTAAAATACACAAGGGAAAAAAATCTAGTAAAATTACCGTACTGTATTTTAAGAACATTTCTGGTAAAAAAAAAACATAATTCTGGTTAATAAAACCAAAATATGCGGTATTTAAACCATTGTTTTGGTCGTTTTTCTGTTCGTATCGTAACGGTTTACCGGAAATTTTGGTTTTCAAAATTATAGCTCTTATTACCACACATTTATTTAAAAAAAGAAGAAAAAATACGGAGAAGTAAATTTAACCGAATAAATGGGTTTTATGACATGCATCAACGTATCATGATAAAATTACCGAATCTTATCACATACATCACATTGTTAAATTTAACAAAATAATTTCCAAAGAACTGTGGTAAAAATTTACCGATTGCTTCGTATTTCTATCGAGTTAGAAGCACGGTGCACTTTACCATATTTTGGTGGTTTTAACCATACTTATTTCTCAGTGTAAAAAGAAACATGTTTCAAGTCAAACAATATTTCATTATTCAAAAACGTGTTTATTAATTAGCTAAGTGTTAACAATTCTCCTTAAATGAAATGAACCTCCTGAAGAATTTTAGTGTTTAAATTAAAACGAGTATTAAGTACTTTTTTACTTTGTCACCTATTTGGTTTTTTATTTACACAAAAAAAGGCAGCTTGTAACGCATATGAGTTTAGGAAAGCATTCGTTACTTAAATATTTAGGCTTAATGCGAGGTAAAAGTGATTAAAATGACATTTAAAAAAAATTTAAGCTCGTTTCGGAAATGATATTATACATAATTTAATCAGTGTAATAAGCAGCATAATGATATAATAGGTACAGAAATTATTACGAATTTTTTATGTAAATTAGCAAAATTATTTGGAGAAAAAAATCGTGAAGATTTTAGAAGAAAAAATAGATAAAATTTCTAAGTAGGAGTATTGCATTATTCGTTCCTACTGAATAATTATAGAGAATTTGTTCGCAGTTAGTTAAATTTTAACCGGTCACAAAAATAATGAATTGAAAGTTAAAATCGTGGCGTTTCGAATAGGCATCTTTGTCTCTTCACTTAGATATCTTTCTCAAGAAGGCTCAGAAATAACTCTAATTATTCAAATATGACACATGTTTAAAATTATCAGCAAGTGTGCCTCAATAATAACATTATTGTCTTCTAGATACAGTCCCTGGGCGAATTACTAGATGCACTAAAAGATTCTATGTAAAATCTTAATTATCAGGAGAAACTGTATAGCATAATTGTTTTTACGTGACTGAAACCGGTTTGGAATAAAATTCAAACAACGTTCTTTTTTTAAAATTATTTTTTTTTTAAAAATGGTCTATTTATATTTCCGTTGGCTATAAATTTTTCCATAAATTTGTTTCATTAACTTAAGTTGTAATTCTCTCCTTTAATTTCTGGTTTTTAGGGCTTACCCTTGAATTATAGGAAGTTTTCTTTTTTACATTTTCAAATTTTCTGCATGTATAGATCTTATGTTTAATTTCAAAAAGGAATCGCTAGAAAGTAACGGAAAAGTAAAGAAACTGTTTCGTTATTTTTTACGTTACTTCAAAGATTTAGTTTCATCATCACCAATTACTAATTATGCATAGTTCCTATGTTTAATTTCACAAAGAAATTTCTGGAAAGTAACGGAAAAATAAAGAAATTGTTCCGTGATTTTTTTCCGTTACTTCAAAGATTTAGTTTAATCATCACTAATGACTAGAGCCCGGAAGTTCAGGCAAAATGCCATAAATGCCCTTTTCTGCCTTTTTTAAACGTTTTCTTCTGAAAATGCCTTTTTCTTTCCTTTTCTTCATAAATGCCTATTTCTGTGTAATTTAAAATTTTTCTGCAAAGCTTTTTGTACTTTTGACTGAGCATAAATTTTGAAGTACAGAAATGGTTGACTGTCATCCGACGTATTGTAATGCATTTATAGAGATTAGGACTTTATTCCTTTTGGGACAACTCCCTCCCTCTGAGGCAGTGGTCACCCTTCGCACTGTACAATGGCTATTCATTTAAGCTGATAGGGTACTCGTGATTGAGTGAGCAAGGCAGGTCAAAGACATTTTTTTGTCCATGAGATTGACAGTGTTGTTTGAATAGAGAATAGAATACGGAATACACTTAAAGCTGGAAATGCGTCAAAAGTTTTATTTCCTAATATGATCCATCTAGCGTGCCTTGCTCATGCATTGCACAGGATAGCAGAGGAAGTAAGAGGTCTCTATCCTGAGGTAGACTCGCTTGTTTCTAGTGTGAAAAAAGTATTTGTGAAAGCCCCTTCAAGAGTTCAAATGTTCAAAGAAATTGCACCAGACATTCAATTACCTCCTAAACCGATGCTTACGAGATGGGGAACATGGATTTCAGCAGTCTCATACTACTGCACAAATTTTGAGGAAGTTACTCGAGTCCTTACCAGCTTTTCGGATGAAGAGGCAATATCCATAAGAAAAAGTAAAAGTCTGCATAGCAGTTCTAAAATAAAAAATGAACTGACTTTTATTTCAACTTATTTTGGAAAGCTCCCTGGAGCTATTGAACACATGGAAAAAAGAAATATGTCTTTGTCCGAGTCACTAAAGATTTTCGACAATACTATTGAGGAACTAATGTCTGTGCCTGAACCAGCTGGTGACAGAATAAGGAAGAAATGTGGAAACGTCATCTCTGCAAGTACAGACTTTGAAAGCATCAAGGACATTGCAAAAGTACTTTCGTGTGATACTACAGTTGAACTTACCATATCTCCTACCATGGCAAGTTGTTTTAGGCACGCGCCCATAACCTCTGTCGAAGTAGAAAGATCCTTCTCTTTGCTTAAAACAAAATTGACTGACAGGAGACAAAATTTCTCTTTTGAAAATTCGAAAAAGCATCTAGTTGTGATGTGCAACAACAATCAATCATCAGAATGAATTTGCATACAATATTATTGTAAGTATGAGTTTTAAATTTTTATTTCACACTTACGCAGTTGAGGTTTTTTTTGTTGTCCAATTATGTCCACTTCTTTTGTACTATTGCTACGACAGTCGAGTATATGTAGGAATACCGGATACTTCTAGGAACTTTTTTTATACCTTGGATACCTATATGGGCTTTTAGGCATTACCAACTAACATTTTGCTCCAATTTTAAGTGCCTTTTTTAAGTGGCTATTTCAAGCTTTTTAAATGCCTTTTTGCCTGCCTATTTTTGCATTTTTTTATTGCCTGAAATTCCGGGCTTTACTAATGACTAAGTTCCACAGACACTAGTCTTTTAACATGATAATTATAAAAATTTTGAAAAGAGAGAGACTAAAGACGTTATGTTTCAATTTTTTTGTTTTGCGATTACGAACGCTTCACAATGAATTTGCTATACCACTCTGACTCCACCTGCACTTAGTTAAAAAAAATTGAAATCTAGAGATGGAAAATTGGATGACTATTTCTTTTCAGAGAGCGAAGTCCCCCGCAGTCCATCTCATCTTAAGCACTTTGATAAACATCCCAATCATCATCACGCACTATTTGTAAACAAGGCAGAAAACCACAAAATGCTGCAAGACAAGACTGCCTTAATGGACGCGACCAGGAAGGCAGCAGTCTTTAATGTGGAGGACGAACACCGGCGTCTTCACGAGCAAGACCACCTAGACGATGAGAGGTGTACGTGTTATTCACCCAGATGTTATTGTTCTATAGGCGATGGCAGATATGTTGAATCCAGAGGTGGTTCGAAAAATAGTTTGTTTTTAAATGTTGATCACCTCCTGACTGCACCCGTGGTGTTCATTTTCGTATGGTGGCTTCCACTAAGTGCCGCCATCTGTTGGTCTGCACGGAATAATCGAAAATGAATTGAACTTTTCATACATAGTGCAATGAAACATTTCAATAACACTTTAAATGATGCTATGCATAAAAAAAGTTGCTTGTACTGACATCAGTTGCAAAATTAATTTTTATTAAAATATTAGCAGAATTTAGTATTAAAATCGTTAAAAAGTTAATTTGAGTTTTGAAAAAAAAAATTTTTTTTTCTCTTTTTTTTAATTTAAATGCATCCAAATTTTATTTTTTCTGACCTAACAGAGAAAAAAAATATCTCGTGGTAACCAAGTTTATAAAAGACTAATTCATTGATCTTATTTCCATACTTCTTTCAAATAAAAATGACAAGTAATTTAATGAAATATTTCTTCCTAAAATAATTTTATGACTCAAAATTTCTTAAAATCATTTTTCCCCGTAAAGTTTAAGTCATAAACTTCTTTGAAAAATAAGTTGCTCTTATGTATAGACCCTATGTTTAATTTCGAAAGAGGATCTCTGTAAAGTAACGGAAGAAATTAAGAAATTGATTCGTGATTTTTTCCGTTACTTCGAGGATTTAGTTTTTCCGTTACTTTCCGCGTAATTGTTTTTTACATGATTTTTCGTAAGCTGAAGAGTTTTACAATACTTCTATGAGAAATGCAGGATTATAACTTCTTTTGTCGGCTCAGAATATGTTCCTAAAATGTATTTCTATTTTTAGCACCCGCAGTATAGTATTTTTAAATGTGTTATACAAATATTGTATCTTTACTACCGTTCACATCAGAAATAATTTTATTTACAATCGTATGCTAAAAGTACAATAGTTATTCACATACCACGTGTTTCAGAAATACAAATTACTACACTGTAAAAAAAATTTCTTGAATTTAATGAAAAAGCTGTCAGTTGTTGTGCCAGAATAAAATCGTTTATTTCACAGAAAAATAATGTTATTTAAAAACGGACGACTGTTTTTAAGCAGATAAGTGCTATAAGTCCCACAGAACACTGATTGCAAGGACACTGTTCTTACGATTATAACACCGAAGTTAAGCATCACAATGTCCGGTCAGTAAGAGGATGGATGGCTGCTTTGATCAGTCTTCGTAGGGACCGAGGGTATGCAGTATCGGATCTCGCTAAACTATTCTAACGTAAAGTGTTCAACTTCGCGCAGGTCATCGAGCTACTAAAGTGGGGGAGCCATCCCCACCTTGCTGAGGATCAAAATTGTGAACATCCTAAGAGATGTTTTCTAAACCGTCGCAATCGTCTGCAGCTCAAGTGCAACGTAAATAAAGTACCTCCCTACCTACCTAGATACCCGTTATTTTAACAAATCAACTGTTACTTTAACAGAACAAAATAACTATGTCAGCATTGTAGTAGGTGCGAGCCTAAAGCAGAACTCGCAAGACCAATCAAAGCCGGGATTTGAAACCCGGGTCCCCTCATTAACACTAGAAAGACTGAAACTTAATATATACCTACGTTGCCCAAAAGCAGTCAAAATGACTTGATTGTGAAAGAATAACTAATGTGTATAACTAAATATAATGTGAATAACTAATTTTTAATATTATTTACAGTTACATAAGAAGTTATTATTAAATATTAACAACAAAAAAATTATATGTTGTTCAAAAATTCTAAGAAATTGTGTCATTATATACACCATTGTTTTTCTAATTGAAATTAAAAATCAGTCAAAATAACTTCCTTGGACAATCTAGTGTTAAGAGGCAAGCGTTCTGTCTTCTGAGTTACGTCTGCTTTAGCTGTTGATTATAAAGAAATATATTAAAAGTTTTATAGAAATTATTTTAATTGTAAAAGTGCTTAAAACTACACGGACTTATCCTTATGAAAATTCCTGGCAGTTTAACTTACTGAAACATTATGTCTAAAGATAGATAATTAACAGGTGGAGTATCAATTCGAAAATGAAGTTTAATCACAATTTTGTTTATACGATGTTCAAAATCTTAAAATTATTTCTGAAAAATAAGAGCACGTATAGAAAACAATCGTAAAATGATTTAAAAAAAAGAGGTTATCTTATGGTAAGAAAAACTGCATTGCAGAAACAAAAATTTGAATTGACAGTTTTGTTCCATTTATGATTATTGTGAAGAACTGATTAAAACCATACGCGTTGAAAGTCTGCAAATAAACGGGAATTTTTTTCAGTGCGCGAGTAGCGATTAAAAATAAAAAGAAAGAAAAACATTACAAAAAAAGTTTTTCAATTAAAAATATGCTTTTTTTCTTCTTCTTCAGAATTCGCAGTTATTTTTTGCAGTGTATTATTAAATGTGCAATACGTAAGCTGCACACATATTGTATCTTTACACACTTTCAAATCTAAAGTAATCTTATGCTAATAGTACAATAGTTTAACACACACCGCATGTTTAAGAAATACATATCACCAGCAGATGAAAAGTTTAGCAGAAAAATGCGTTAAGAGTCAGTTTAAAAACCACCAATTTTGTAGGTTTATGCCACGTTGTAGTTTATAGGTACTTTATTTACGTCGCACTAGAACTGCACAATGGGCAATTGGAGACGGTTTGATAAGCTTCCCTGAGGATGCTTCCCAAGGTTGCTGCCTTGCAGCTTTTGGGTGCCCTGCTTTGGTAGCCCGATAACCTGCTTGCGAAGTCGAGCACTTTACGGTAGAACAGTTTAACGAGGACCGATAGTGTGCACCCTCGGTCCCTACGCACGTTGATCAAAGTGGTCACCCATCCGCTTACTGAACGCAGCCAGTGATGCTTTACTTCGGTGTTCTAATGGGAACATTGTCTTTACTAAATGTGTAATACATTAGATAAACAAGTATTGTATCTTTGCACACCTTCAAATCAGAAGTAATCCACTTATGAAAGATGTCATCACATATGCTAATAGTACAATAGTTTAACATACACCACATATTTAAAAAATACAAATCACTGTCTGATGAAAAGTTCAACTGAAGAGTTATTTTTAGAACCTCCAATTTGGTAGGTTTATGCAACGTTGTTGTAGAAATTCAAATCTTTTTACAAAGCAGTCTTCAATGAAAAAGTGCGATTCGGTGCTTTTTAAACAGTCGGATTTTTTTTATTTGTTTTAAAACTGAATTTACTCAGTTTATTAAACTTTTGCTCACCATTCACTTTTAGTAAGTTCTTTAACATACTTTAAGATTTGTATACATTAAGTTCTTAAACTCCTTTCATATTAAAGAAAGAACGTTATTCTTTGAAACAATTTTAATTATTTTATTTTGGGTGCGATTATGTTAAGTTCGATTCATTTTCGATTTTTCCATTGTAGCATGTTTGTGCTGTTCGTATAATCATTTTCACGACACTGCAAATAAAACAAGTATTTATATGATGCTGTTGAAGCTTATGCACTATGCTTTTATAACATAAAGTGAAACTTCTGACTAATGTGTTTCTTATCACAATTTAAACTTGCTTAAAATATTTAAATTTTAAATTATACATAAAGATGGAACGTAGAAATTAGAAAGTGTTTCAAATTTTACTAAAAAATATTTTAATTTTAAATTATATTGACTAATGAAGTTTCAGGAATTAACTAATTCTTAAAATTAAAAAAAAAAAACAACAAAAAATTACTATAAAGCATAATTTAATTCTATGGGTTCTATTGCTTTTCTTTATTTTTGAAATGTTTTAGTCGCCATTTTTAAAGCTGAAGAAATATTATAAAGCACATGTTAGAAAATGAATGAGATTTGTGGAAGTACATGTATATTTAAATGGATCTTAACATGTACTTGTTTACAAAACAGCTGAATTTCCAAGTTAAAGGACGTGCTATGATTAGCAGTAAGTGTACAAACAAAATATTAATTCTGCCAAGACAAGGCGCTAAGCATGTCACTGAAATTTCAACACACTTGAAATACAGTTTTTTATGTAAAATATTGAGTTTTGCGCAACACCATTAGAAGAGTATGAAAAAAAAATCTTCCTGACTATAATTTTATAACTTTATTCAGCATTAAATGATGTTTTCTGAAAAAATTCCTTTTTTATTTGCATAGTGATGAAATACCAAACATTCAGATTAGAATATGGTTTTTTAAATTCAAACCACCGCCAATTGTAACCTTACATTAAGCGAATCTAGATTTCCCACAAAGCTAAACGAAGTGGTAATAATTAAAAAATAAAGAAACCAAAACAAACATCGTATTTTTCTTTTAAAAGTGACAAATAGGCTTTTGGAAAAATATTTGTTTTAAAATTTAAAGCAAATTTTCTTTTAATGATGTGTGGCATTAAAGTAAGCGGGTTAAAAATTAGTCAAGACATATGTTTAACTATTTCGTTGGATTTCTAGAAAACTATTTTATTTCGCTTAGGAAAGAACCAATATCTGACGACTTTTATTATTGTCATAATTTTTGTCAAAAGTCATAATAATTCATAAATCAGAAAACCATGACTCATGGAAAAGTTATAGTAATAAATAATATTACTTAATTGTAAATAATAAAGTGTAAAAGAAAAGTACTAAGCAAGCCATAAGCTCACATACATAATTTTAAGATAAATCACATTATAAGAAGCGATAAAAAATTCGGTGATACTTATTTTGAGAGTTTATCTGAATACTTATATATATTTTTAGTGAAAGATGAAAATGAAGATGACCCGCCGGGATATCCAACTCCATCCCCTGAGCCAGTTTTTCCAACTCCTATTCCTACTCCTGAGCCAGAAGAAGATTTTTGGAGGCCCGAACCAACACCGTAAGAGACATTAAATAATTTAGGAAAGCTGGCGTTTTAAATTGGTTATTTTTTTTTAAAGAATATTTTAAGGCTTGCAAATTGTTGATAAATCGTTGCTATATTTTAAAAAATAGCTGTTAAATGAAACAGTATATTTTTAAATACTCTGTTAGAAGTTTTAAAACAAGTTAAATCAAACTACCCTTCAAAATTACCGCAGTGAAAAAAGAGTATGTTCAAAACTACTGTAATATAATGAAATTTTTAGTGTTAGTTTTTACAGAAGTTAATGATTTTGGAAAAATAAAAAATATGGTTTTATAACATGTAAATGTATTGAAAATGCGTTAAAATTTGGCAATTTCATCATGATACCTAAGAGCAGGGTGTGAAAACCCTTTATTCGGTTAAGTTTACTTTTCAGTTTTAAATTTTATACCTAATGTAGTGAAATAATACGAATAATAATTTTGGAAATCAGAATTTCATTTAAACTTTTACCATATGAACGGAAAAGTTGCTAAATGAATGGTTTAAATACTGTATATTTTGATTTTATTGACTAATTAAATTATTTTTTTTTACGAAAAATATTATTTACATGCAGTATAGGGATTTTAGTTCTTTCTCCGTGCTCAAGGTTCCTGTTCTAAGCCAATAGTATTTCTTAATCTTATTTACACGACACTACAGCGTGAACTAAAGTATGCTTAAATGTAAAATTTTTCTTAAGATTGTAAGGAATGCGCACTATTTTAAGTTCAATATACCAATTATATGGTCCAATAATTTTTATGCTACTATACGCTGAAGAATTTATAGCAAAACTTTCAATAGTGCAAAAATTGAAAGACGCCTTTTTTAAAAAAAGATTTGAGTGAGGAGCACTTTTAATCATGAAACTCATACATTAATAAATTATTCGTTTTATTGAATTTGTTTTATGAAAAATTAATATTTTTTATATTATGTTTTTTTTTAAGTATTTTTTTTTAAAACACTGCTAAAACATTTGGAATGTATCAAAGTATAATATCATTCAAATGTACTGTACACTGTAAAAAAAAGGATTTCTCAAAATTTACCAAAAATGTCTCAAAATATTTGCGAAACAAATGATAGTGGAACTTAAGAACCATGTATTCAACATTGAAACAGCATGTATTAATTTTTAAACAAAATGTATAGTCACCAAAGTGGAGGGAGAAATATGTGTGAGCAGTGGCGGATCCAGGGGGGGGGTCATAGGGGTCATGATCCCCTCCCCCAAATTTAAAAAAAAAGTAAAAATAATTTTTTTTAATAGTTTACAAAAGAAATAAAATATTTTAAATATTATTTAAGGGAGCGTATACACCTAGGTAGGTCGGAAAAATCGATTTTTTCCCATCTAATTATGTTCTTCACTGTCTAAAGAATCATAATCCAAAAGATTAAAACGAAATTCGTCATAGTTTCATTGTAAACATTAAGCTCCAAGCGCGCTTCAACAGGTTTCACCAAAGATTGTATTTGCCAAAGTTTCTAAAAAACGCATTACATTTATTATTTAAAGACTTTGAATACTTGAATTATTTATGTATTGTTCATTATGAAAAAAATAAATGAGAAGACTAGCATTAAAAACCCCAGTTTTTTTTTCCAAAAAAATATTAATTTTTTTTTATATAAAAGATCCGAGTCTATGACATCCCCCCCCAGGAAAAAATTCTGGAACCGCCCCTGTGTGTGAGAGAGAGATGTTTGTTAGCTGCCGTCAAGAGTCTAAACCAAGAATATCCGAGTTCGTGGTAGGATGCTCTAATCCCTATAATTTGTCCCCCATAAATTGATCTCCAGTCCAGGAAGAGTTTGGAAGCTTTACATAGTGACATACATACCTCATGCCCTGCATTTCATTATCTTAAAAGTTTTGAAAGTTTAGTGAAATAAGTAAAAAGTAAAATTAAAATCACTTAACTCTGGACCAATGAGACCTTTTTTTCCAAACGAAATACCTTTGTACCACTGAAATTGAAAATTAGTGTATCATGGTGTGTGACCACTATACAAGGCTCCGTGGACAGGGTTGTACAACTATGGTTTTTAGAACATTTTGATACGAATCCAGATGTCCTTAATCCGAGTTCTGCAGGTAGCCAATGGACATCTTTCACTCTCTCATATTCCTCCCTTCACATAACTTTTCCGACTATGCATTTTGCTCAAAATTGGGTATACGCTGTTTCAACATTTAATACACGGGGTTTTCTAATTCGACTATCATTTGTTTCGAAGGGGATAGCCTGGTTGGCAGGGTGCTGGACTCTCACGCGCGTGAGAACGGGAGTTCGAATCTTGCCAGCCGAAGCTACTGCTGTATTGTTAAATCTTTCGGGTCACAAAGTCCTCCATGTTCTTATGACGAATCAATACATCTGGCAGTACTGAATTGGAGACAGATCGTTCTGTGGTTCAAGTCAAAATTACGATCTGTGAATGAATGAATGGATTTATGAATGGGAAGAAGTCGAAATCTTTTCCATAGATGGCGCCACTGGAAAAAAAGAATAATCGCACCCCTTCTGCCTTAATGGCCAAGACAACAACAACAGCATTTGTTTCGAAGTGATCTTCATACATTTTTGCGCAAGTTTCAGAAACTCTTTTTTTAAATGTAATCTTAATATCGGGCAAATGTAGTCTTATCATGTAGTCTTAACATAGGGCAAATGGAGTTTTAACATAGGTTACATAAATCAATCTTTCTTAAGCTTCACTACACAATTTTGTAGCTTAATTTGAAGAGAAAAATGCTTCAACTTAGCACCACATCAAAGTTGTAGCGAATTAGAAAGGTGGTATTAAGAAGGTGAGAGTCAATGCAAAGTGTATCAATTGCATGAAAACTCAGGTTTTTACTTTTACACAGAAAATTTTGAAATTTTACTCACAGGGTTCTTTACGAATGCAAAATTCTATGGTGGCTATGAATGTTGAAATCTCGCTTAGAATAAATATTATAAACACATTTATATATAAACTATATTAACATCATCTAATTATTATAATTAAGCATTTGCATCCTGAGCCTTGAAGTTTTAATTTTACATCTGACATAAAAATGAACTTCGATGAAAATATCAGTTTGCAAAATTAAAAATTTAATTCTCTGGCTAAGTAAAAGAAATTATTGCGATTTTCGACAAAATAACGTTACACGTATAAAGTTCCTTAAGACTTTGACATTTTTCTCATAAATATGACGCTTTGTCACGAAATAATTTTTAACTCTAACTTTAATTAATAATTTTTTGACGACTTTACATTTGTCTTAAAGAAACTTTAACTTCGAAAGTTACAAAATAAATATTAAATATATATTGTTTATTTACTCTGAATACTATTATATCTTAATTAAAACTCTTACTTGCAAAAGTTATCTAAAGAAAAAAAAGTAATTTAAATCTTTATAATATATTAAAACTATTTTTGCTTCTACAATACGAGTCAGACGCAAATTTTTTTTACAGTGTGAATTCTAAGTTATGTATTATATATGTTTTAATTAAAGTTCTTATTCATGTGAATAAATACTCGTGACATCGTAAATCGGAGATAAGAAGAGATTTAGTTGTTGCTATGGAAACCTTTGTTTCTTTGTTAGTCATAATTAGTCATATTTCTCTTGAGAGTGAATAAACCGTTGCTTAGCAACTCACCATTAATCTAAAATGCGAAACTGTTAAATTTCGGATTTAATCTTTTTGTAACTGTACGAGGCATATAAAGACAGAATCAGTAACATTTCTATCAAAGGCATTAAATCTGAAATACTCATTTAGAATTGCTCTATTATTAATTGAAGACCTAAGCAAAAAGTATATATTACAACATGCTCGAGCAATTTTAGTTGCAAATATTTGTAATTGAATAAAAATTTTTTATGTAAACATGTATACACAAATATGCATACATACATACACATATATATGTATATATATGTAATATATATACATATAAAAGAGAGAAAGGAAAAAATAAAGTGATTGAATATCTTTAAATTGTTTTATCGTACACGAAACTAATGGTATTATGAAAGGAATATAGATCATGTAAATCATTTGGAATATTTAAGCAAATTAATGTATTGTAACTTAAGAAGGTAGAAAATAATGTTTTATTTGAATTTCTTATTTATTTTTCGCTAGGAGTAAACTTTGTCGCTAGCATAAATTTCAAAGTGCTTAATGTACTGAGCCTATTTATATCCTATATTATGATTTCACAAATTTAAATGATAGTTTTATAATTTTTTTTTAGCCTGTCGATTGCAGGGAACTTTTGGTAGGAGTTCTCTTACCATATCTATTTTTTTGTACGTGAAAATAAAAACAAAAAATAGTGTTTTAAGCAAAAACCAGGAAATATGACTTTTGAATAATTTCTATAGCTGTAGAATCATTCTTTTATCAACGTTAATGAGAAAATGTATTTTTAAAAAATTTGAAAACAGCCATTAGGCCTAATGCATTGATTCATAAACGATTGATTTATTTTACTTTAGTAAGAGACATAATAGTACTGTAGATAGGTAAAACAATAAAAATAGAATAATACATAATACTTTTAATGTAAAAATCTTTTATCATCCAAAAGCCAATATGATTGAGATGTAATAGTTTGCGTTAGTGAGCGAAGCGAGGATTTGATAAATATTTTTCCAAGTGACATTTATTGAAAAAAAACAGGAAATTTTCATGCACAAAATATCAATTTAAGATATTTATTCAATAAATATTATTCCAAATCATCAAAAAACTTAATAAAAAAGCTCTTCCAAAATTTCCAGAGGCCGCCATTTTGAATGTTCACCATTATTGTTTAGGGCTAAATCTGATATGGCCTCTCATTCAAACTTAAAGCTTTATATGTGTGGTATATGCGTGCTAATTTTTATGCTTCTATCAATAAAGGCGTGATTCTTTTATGCGTGTCACAAATCTGCCCACGCGATGAGAGAATAATAAACATAGAACATGTTTCATGGTTTAATGTATTCAAATTTATTCCTCAGACAAGGCTTTTTTAAGTTAAAAATCAAAGCAAGGCAAAATTTTGTTTTATGTTGCTGGAGGAAACTAAGAAAATTTTATTAAAATAGTTTTATTTTGTGGTAAGTGAGAGCATTCAAAAAAGTTTTGAACAATACCCTTAATTAAAAAAAGAGTATAAACATAACTTTAATATAAGTTAAGAATACTTTTTGTTATATTTATTGTAATCCTTACGTCTATTGACATTTTCCTTTTATTATTTAGAGAGCCAGAAGAAATATCTTTGCCCGGAGCTATTTCTGAACCAGAACCAGGTAATACTATTATAATTAAATGTGAAAAGGATCCACTCAGGTTTTTTTGACAAAAGATACAACCTTCAATTGAAATTTCGTAATGAAGTTCACAATTTAAATCATTCTAAGAAGATAGTTTGAAATTTTAACTGTAGCCGCATTAGAGGAATTTTTATAACCTTTCAAAGTCTGTTATATAATGTATGCGTTATCATTGCAACACACCCACACTGATTGCCATAAGAAATCAAGCAACAAGAAAAAGTAAACTGAATGGAACGGAATTTTACACGCGTAAGAACGAACAAAGTTGATATAAGTAAGTGATTAAAAAACCAAACTGAAACTTTCATTTATGACAGGAAAAACTGAAAATGAATAAAGTTTTAGTAACATGTTGAGACACCTCTAGCATGAAAGGACAATGCGATAAGGCCAGGCCTCCCCTTTTAATGTTCTGTAGTAACTCGTTCAACCACTGTTGCTTTTGTTTGGTGTCACACTCAACGGGATTGGATGGAAGAGAACTAGATCGTCTTCAGCAACAAATCCAGGTTCAATTTAGACCGTCATGACATTCATGTAGTGTGTGAAGCCTCCGGGGTGAACCAATACCTCCTAGAAAAGAGCAGGTCTCAGCACGGGCTTCCATAAATAAGACAGTCGATCCTTTAGTAGTCCAAACGTAATGACATATTTCGTATTTTCCACCACTACGCAGCTTAGTACCCCGAACGTAATGACATCTTTCTTATTTTTCATCTACTGCGCATATTAACTTCGTTACATCGGACTACTAAGTTGATCCGTGCTGAGGCCTTCTAGGAGGTGTTGGGTGAACGACTCAGTCTTGCCTACGTTGCACAGTAGCCCACCTCTCCTACAGCTATTGTGAGGGTAGGGGTGTCATCTTATACAACAAACGATCGACTGCACCATGACAGCCCAACCATAAGTTTGTGACATCCTTAAACCACATGGGGTTCCTCTCCTGTTAGGGATTCAAGGAACTATTTTTTCAACAGATATCAAGGATGTCACATGACTACCTCCGCCACATTAACAACCTTCTCTGGCCAAATTGATCCCCAGATTTCTCACTGATTGTGCATATTTGGTATTAGTTAGCACGGCAAGTTGGACAGCTTACGGGTTACTCGAATTGGAGGTTTTTTCATAGCAATTGCAGAACGAGATGCCACAGAATATTATAAGGGACTTATATACCTCAATGCCTGGCAGTATAGTATCATGTATTTTGCGCTTGAGGTGTCTAAACAGAGGGTACTAAAATCTCCATTTTTGGTATTTTTTCTTGCAATGAATGGATTACTTTGCTTTCAATCCCTTATTCATATCAATGCTGTACTTATGTATGTAAAATTAAATTTATTTCTGACAAATCTTTCTTGGTGGGAGAATTTATATGGCAATTGTGCATATTCAAATTTTACACGGGGTTTCTGAAAAGTATGGAAATCGTCAGTTCAAAAACTTCACACCTAACATCTAAACATACACGTTTGAAATGTTTTCGAAAAATGCATTTAAATTAACGAAATTGTCCCTAACTTTATCCATTAAGGGGGTCTTGTCAATTTTAAAATCATAAAATTTTAATTTTACCAATTGTAATTAACCAATTGTNTACATCGGATTACTAAATTGATCCGTGCTGAGGCCTTCTAGGAGGTGTTGGGTGAACGCCTCAGTCTTGCCTACGTTGCACAGCAGCACACCTTTCCTACAGCTGCTGTGAGGGTAGGGGTGTCATCTTATACCACAAACGATCGACTGCACCATGACAGATCAATTATAAATTTATGACATCCTTAAACTACATGGGGTTCCACTCTTGTTAGGGCTTCCAGGAACTATTTTTCAACAGACATCAAGGACGTCACATGACTACCTTCGCCACATTAAGATCCTTCTCTGACCAAATTGATCCCCAGATTTCTCACTGATTGTGCATATTTGGAATTAGTTGGCACGGCAAGTTGGACAGCTTCCGAGGTTTGCCGAATTAGAGGCTTTTTCATAGCAATTGCTGAACGAGAAGCCACAGAATATCATAAGGAACTTATATACCTCAATGCCTGACTACTTTGCTTTCAATCACTTATTCATATCAACGTTGTACTTATGTATGTGAAATTACATTTATTTCTGACAAATTTTTCTTGGTGGGAGAATTTTTATGGCAATTATGCATATTGAAATTTTATACAGGGTTTCTGAAAAGTATGGAAATCGTCAATTCAAAAACTTCACACCTAACATCTAAACATACACGAAAAATGCATTTCGTGTATGTTTAGATGTATGTTTGTACGTGTATGTTTTCGTGTATGTTATTTTCGAAAAATGCATTTAAATTAACGAAATTGTCCCTAACTTTATCCATTAAGGGGGTCTTGTCAATTTTAAAATCATAAGAATTTAATTTTACCAATTGTAATTAACCAATTGTAACTTTACCAATTGTAACTTTAATTTTACCAGTTGTAAGTACACCAATTGTAACTAGCAGATTTTTTTGAAGTTTTGTTCACAGATGGCGCGACAATCGCCAAATTAAAATCGTGTACAAATTGTTTATAATTGACTTTTTTTGAGAATTGCGTACCAGATCTTAAAAAAGATGTAGTTTTTTGATATTTTGCAAAGAAAAAAAAAACTCTTTCAGTAGATGACTCTCAAGTACTGACGGTTGAGTTTAGTATTATCTAAATGCATCTTTTGAAAATATTTCACATGTGCAGGTTTAATTTTTGGTATTATGCATATTCATTATGATATTTGGCCTTTTCTATACTTTCTGTAGAACCTAGATATTTTCCCCCAAATACTTATTTCCGATAATCTAAAATAAAGCAGATAACAAGTAGATTAATCTAGTGATTTTTTTTGTAAAAATTTTTCCCACACATTACTTTTGCTTTAATTGTCTGTATAAGGATTATTAAGGCGGGCTCAAATGAGCCCAGCAACCCAAGTCTGGACGCATCACCCGCTCGGTAATTTAAGATAGATTTCGGTGCGATACCTCATTGGCAATTCTGTCTAATACCTCATTCAGATGGTTTTTTTGAGGTGATAAACGATTTATTATGGCTATTTCTTATTTTGTTTAGTTATCTTAGTTTCGAGACACAGCAACACACAATTCGGTTTTTACTGGTTAATGGTTTAAAATTTTTGATTCTAAAAACAGTTTATTAATCTCGGATTTAAGTTATAAGCCTTTTTGCGTCTGACAAGCTGTCTGGTCATGGGATTCAAATGAGTTTGCCCAAACTCATCTCCAGTCTTTTAACAAAAATATTTTAAAAACTATCATAACACATTTATTTTTCCTGAGACGGCTGAATATATGATCACAAAGTACAGTATTGGAAAAATTATTATAAAATCCGAAGTTTTTTCTTTAAATCTAATTACCGAATCAAGGTAATAATCAGGGTAAACGTACTTTTAGAATTTTTCTTCATCATGATTTTTTTTACAACGTTCATAGTTTATTAAGAATAGTCTTCTTTTTTTTATTCCTTCTTTGAAGATTAAATAGTGCTAGAGAATTAATTTTACAAACTTATTTTCTGTGCAAATATGAATTAAGTACTGTATAGGTAAAAATATATTGACTCATTGCCTTAAATTATAACCTTATTCCAGACAGCAAGTCCCACCGTGTTCAAGTGTCCTACTAAATACTATAACGTTTTTATAACAGAGATATATTAACTAAATATGTAGGGGAAAGCGTTGTACCTTTTTGATGACCACCATATCATTGACATCAATTGGCGACAAAACAAGACTAACATAGTTGTTCCACCACGAGTTAGTCTAGAAAAGCTGACAATTTAAGTGAGATTTCTGGGAGCTAGAAGATAAAAGGAAAAAAATTCAACGGAAAGTAATTATTATTATTTCATAATTTAAAAATTTTTTTTTTCTATTTTATTAGTCTTAAAAATTAAGAATGAGTACCAAGGTATAATAGCCTTTGCAAGAGTGTAAGAAATAATTTATGACTCTCTTATGAAATAATATATTTTAAATTTTAAAATGTTTATAGATTCTTTAAATGGTAAGTAATAAGATATTACTTACATTTCTACAATAATCTTTACCCAAGTAAAAATAAAAATATGCGCTTTCGAACTTTCCCAAGGTACAACGTCTTCTTCCATACAAATGAGTTTCTGTTTTTTTCGTATTGTTTAGTCATTGAAAATAAAACACACACAAATTTTTTTTAATATTTTGATGAATGCGCTTTAGTTTAGAATTACTTTTATCTGCAGACTTCATCAGGAGCAATTGTATTTATATGCTAAATTTAGTCTCTTTCTGTTTCGTTTAAGCACACAAAACCTAATGTAGATATTAAACTACATTTCTGAAAAATAAAATTAATTACTTCCGAAGCCAAATTATACAAATTAAACGGAAACCTGATTAAATATTTTTGTGTTTATTTTGTTCTTCTATTTCAAATGCCTTGTAATAACACTCTTTCTCAATACTCTAATTTGTTACTGCTTTTAACGGTTGTATTCATTAGGCACAATTATATTTATATGCCAAATTCAGTCTATTTCTGTTTTGTTTAAGTGCACAGAACTCAGTGTAGATAATAAGCAACATTTTTGATAAGTAACATTAAGTATTTTTGAATCCAAACGATGCAAATTAAACAGTGACCTGACTTCGAATATTTTTGCTTATTTTGTTCTTTTACTTAAAATGCCTATACTCTTTTTTTTCCTTCCAGAACCCCCTAGAGAGGATCTATATTACGTCTATCAAATAACGGACATTGATGGTTCCAGAGAACTTATTGGTCAACTATACCTACAAAATGACTTATACCTGAGTGACGTGCGAAGGGTCATTGAGAGAGATCGAAATCTATCGGAAATCATTCGAAAAAAAGAATACAAGTTTCTGGATGATAATTTAGAAGTTGTCCATCCTTATCAAGAAAGCTCATTAAATATCGAGAGAGTGTTTCCTTCACAAGAAATTTATTTGCAACCCTTACGTGAGTTTTGACTTGAGTTTTATTAAAGCAGCAAACTTAATACAAAATATGTGTGTTTTTTTAAAAAATAATTTATGTCTTCTGAATATTGTTACTTCAAACTTAATGATTTGAAGAATTGAATATCTGAAACACAAACTCCTTCTTGTATTTTATATTTTAGGATATATTTTACGAATGCTGAACAAAAAATAATTGCAAGTTACTTTTTTTAAAAATCTTAATAGTAAAAAATCACTTAAAAATTATGAGTAAGATAATAGCAAATAATTTTGTACAGTTACCAGGGTGCTTTTTTTCTGCTACCTCCTTTTACCAATCCCACCGATTGCTAAGAAGTACTTTTGATGTCTTAGAGATAAACAATATGTTGCATCAAAGCTAAAAATTAGTAAAAATAAAAGATCCAAAGTTAGATAAGTTTAAATGAAAGATCCCAACATTTTTTTTCTTGTATTTACACAGATTTTGTTCTCAATTGTTTTGAAACGAATCATTTTGCTCGGTTACCTTTGTAAATTCATCGACAATTTAGTTTATTATTATTTTTTTAAAATTTTTGGTTACCATAAAAATTAGTTAAATCTTTTTCGCTTAAGAGAATATTGTTGGAACAGAGCAAAAAGTTAATATTTAATAATGCTTTACAATTTTGTATCCATTACATTAGTTAAATAAGTTTAATGGATATTTTTTTACATAAAATCATTATTAAAAATAACACGATTAATATTCGATAATTTTAAAGCGGTTAAAAAGTTATATATTGTTTTAATCATGTTTATCATAAAGTGTTGCCTAATAAGATAATGTCCTTGAAGTACTCTATAATAAAAAACAACACTTTTAATTTTAAGCCTTGAAATCGGGATAATAATCAAAATTTAAAATATAATTATAGTATTGAAAAATAATAAGATAAATAAATATTACAGATAAATACAATCAAATAAGGGCAAATAAATATTTCATAATCCATCTATTGCCTTTATAAATTTGATTAATCTTATACTTATGACCGCTAAAAAAATTCAAACTTTTGTTTGTTAATTAAATATCCTATCCTAAGTTTTTCTTTATGGCTTATAAGATAGCACAGACAATAAAGAGAAAAGGTTTCAGACCATTATCTTTACATGCTATATAGCGAAATGCAGTTTATACAGTTATTAATTATTAAATTAAATTTCATTTCATGTTTATTTTTCAGTACCTGATCCACCAGACCCACCCAAGAGGCTACCAAAAGTACCGGCGTATGGTGAGAAATTAAGGAAGTTAAATAATTTAGTACCCATGTTGAAATCAAATTTTGAAGAAAAAGAAAAGGATACATTTCGATAATTTGATTTTTGTAATCATATAAGTAAAAGAAAAGAGATAAAATATCATTATCATATAAAAGAAATAGATAACATAATCAATATATGGGTCAACATTTCACACATTTTAAACATATCAGACTTAACATATCATATAAATTAATGTCATTAGGCCTGTACATGGCCTATAAATTTTAAGACGCTACAAGTAAAAAGGATGACATATTTTAGCAAAAGGAAAAATCCTTAAATAGAATAACATAAACAAGAATTTAAAAAAAAATATTTTAATGAGCTGCATGGAGTTATTTTCCATAGTAGGATTTATTAAGTTTTTCAGTTTTGTAATTGTTCGGCTGACCACCTAACCGGAACATCTGTTCCTGCAACCCTGAGTCCAATGGTCAAGAAAACTGAGATGGGCACAGTAGGCCTTGGCCCTCTATGGTCTGTCGCGCCGCTGAGTTTAGTTTAGTTTAGTTTAGTTTTATAATTATAATTTCGTATAGCAGGAGCTTATTAAAAAATTTGGTTTTTATTTCCTTAAGTATATAAATAACTTTACATTGTTGATACGAATGAAATAATATACATATTATAAAAAAATTGTATCGGTATTGTAAAATAAAAAGTCATAAATTTCTGAACTTCACAAAGTTCAAAAATATTAAAAAATAAAACTTTTATGCAACGCCTTCTTTTTATTACAACAACCATCACATCTCTTCAATATCATCCCACGTTTCTTAATGCATTCCGCTACCTTCTCTACATAAAAGTTTTGCCTACATTTAAAATATAGACAATTATTTAGATTATTTCGAACAAAGCTTGCATTGGATTAATGATATACTAACAATATTTTTTATTTCCGTCAGTAACACCATGAAACTTTAGTCTGTATTTGAAATATATACAATTATTTATATCATTTCGATCAAAGTGCGCACTTAACACTAGATTGCCTAAGGAAGTCATTTTGACTGCTTTTAATTTCAATTCGAAAACTAATGATGTTTATAATGACACAATTTCTTAGAGTTTTGTGACTTTTTGTACAACATATAATTTTTTTTATTGTTAATATTTACTAATAACTTGTTACAGAACTGCAAATAATATAAAAAATGTTAAAAATTAATTTTAAACAAATTTATTGACCCACACACAATCTAGTCATTTTGACTGCTTTTCGGCAATATAGGTATATACTAATTTTCCTTCTTTCTAGTGTTAATTAATGATAAATTAGTAAGATATTTTATTTCCGTCAGTAAAAACATAAAAGTTTTTGCATATATTAAAATATAGATATTTATTTATATAGCCCCTTGCCAAATTATTAGACTCACTATAAGATTCTATGTAAAACCTAAATTATCAGGTGATACTATACAGCTTTATTGTATTTTTGCGGCTGAAACCGGTTTACGCTTGTTTACGTTCGTGTATCAATTGGTTAACATTGTAATGCAATACGTTAAAAATAAATACAAATCGGAAGTATATAAAAAGTCTCCTGAATTACATCCCATTACATGTATGTTTAAATGTAAACGTATCGCATATAAACTCGTGCAAAATATGTAATTACTAAAAAACTACAGTGCGTTTAAAATTTTGGTCTAATTATTATAATATACTAATATAATACCTGATATAATGAATATTCTTAATTTGTATAATATATCGTCTAATTTATCCAACCGTTGAATTAGTATAATATATCGTCTAATTTGACCAATTGATACACGAGCGTTATCAAGTGCAAACCGGTTTCAGTCGCGTAAAAAGAATAAACCTGTATAGTATCACCTGATAATTAAGATTAAAAGATAATTAATGCGTCGAATAAATTGGTCAGGGACAGTACTTCACTGCAGACAGAGTATGCATTGGATTTGCGAAAAACTAAAAACATTTTTTTGTATCCGTCCATAACAACATGAAAGTGTAGTCTGAAATAAAAAATATCGATAATTGTTTACATCAATTGAGAACAAATTATTAATTGGATTAATAATATCTCTTATTTCCATCACTAACATCATAAAGGTTTATCTACATTTAAAATATAGATAATTATTTATGCTATTGTGAACAAGCAATATATTGTATGAATGCTAAATTAATAATATCTTTTATCTGCGTCGGAAATTACATAGCCTTTCTATGCATTTAAATATAGATAATTATTAATTGTAATACAAATAAAGTATGTATTGGATCAATCTTAAATAAATTATGTCTCTTAGAGCCAGCCGTAAAATCAAACACAAAACATGAGAAAGTAACAATAATATTTAATTCAAATATTTACTTTTCTGTTTTTCTATTTCCAGCTAGTTGCACCTTGACATTTTAATCTTAAATGAATTAAACTTATTCGAAAAATGTGTAACTTAATAAATGTATTATCTTTCAAATATTTATTTAAATCTTAGCAAACTTTAAAAATGTTGTTCCTTTATGTAATCTGATATAAAATTTTTTCGTACATTAATTTTTAAACTGTAGATACCTTGATATTGGCATATATAAATACTATGAACTCTCCGCATTCGATTCTTAAATATTATCACAAAGACAAGTATATTTCATCCTTTATTTTTGCAAAAAATTATCTTCACGAGAAAAATCAGTTAAACTAGTTAAAAAAAAGGAAATTGATTGAAGAAAAGAATGAACTATTTTCGTAAAGTATTAATTTGCAATTATGACGGGATCATTTTCTCTCTTTTTTATTGAGCATATATTATAAAAAAGTTTTTTATCTCTTTTATTTTTCCTTTCATTATTTTGATTTAAGACTGAGATTATTTGCTATGTACTTAGGAATTCCTTTCTTTTGTCAAGTTCAGATCATTATTCGATCTTAAAAAAATACCCAAGTTTTCTCTCTTATTGAGTTTCATAATAGAAGAACGATAAATCCTTTTATTCAGTTTATAGAATAAATTGGCCTTAGAAATAATAATAACTGAAATGTTTATTTTTAAAAATATTTTTGCAAAATTTTTTTTATTTTCAAAATTGACAATCTGTACTTAAATTTAAACTAGTATATCATAAAATAGATCACTATTTTTTCAAATAATGCATTAGATTAGGGTATTTTAAGCTTGTATTAATCTGTATTTTATTCACAGGGACGTTTTATATATGATGTTTTTTATGCTATCGTGTTTTCACACTTATATAGATTAGTACTGTATAATTTATGATCATAAGATTGGTATAATTAATTTGAGCTATTTAACCTTTCTCAGAATTTTAATGATATTTTCTGATTTTTATTTTTTATTTTCTGGACTTTTTCCCTTTTTAATAAAATTGCAATAGATTCCGGGATTCAGTTGAACTCGATTAGTTAAAGTTCTTCGGAGAAAATGTTTTGTAAAACAAACATTTTGTCATTTATTGGAGGACCCATATATTGGATGTGCTGTCTTAATATTCTATTTATAGCATTTTAAATTTGAACTCATCTCGGTAGATATTGGGATTCCTAACCTCCATTGACTTTTAAACAAACATATCTAGTAGAGAACTTCTTGAAGTGATACTATACAGATTTTACCTTATATACAGAGAGAATTTTGATAAAATCTTTCCTATTTAGTAAAATTTATCAGATTTGGAACTAAAAGAGGAGATTATTTTTCATGGCTGTCTAATGCAAGTTGAACTTAAACCTATGATTTTTTTACCACTCTCAATATTTTGTGCTGGTAGTAGGTTCAGTGCAGGCCTGAGATTAGGAGTAGTATAATAGTCATTAACAGTGCTGTTATCGTCTATGAAATAAACTACAGAAATTAAAATAACGAGATAAACTTTTGAATGAAAGTGAAACATAAAAGACAGTAAAAATTAGGGAAAAAACAATAAACAGCACGTTGTTGAGAAATAACAGCTTAAAGTACGATGGAAAAAAATCCGGTAATTTTTTTTGATCGTAAAATACATTTTTACCGGAACATGGTACGTAATCGAAAATCTGACATACCGTAATTTTTACAGTGATATTTATCAAAAAATCACTGAATCTCTCAAATTAACTAAATATTATTGTAAAAATTATGTTATAATATTTAACGGTAAAAATGAATTTTACGGTAAAAGGGATTTCACAGATGATGCACCCAAAATGGCGGTACTTTATACCGTAATTTGACCCGGAATTTTTTACAGTATACGTGTACTTGACTTATACAGTTGATTCTCCTCTTATTTTGCCAAATGTCTTTTCGTACTAAAATGAAGATACTTCTGCAACATATTTATTTAAATGAAACATCGGAATAAAACTCTTAATCAGCTGCTGGGTGACTTATAGCCACTTTATAAAAATTACTCCGGTCGAATAAAATTTTGTGATTAGAGGTGTTGGCTATTTACCGATAGCTTGCAGAGGCTGTCAGCGTGCACTCATTGCGTATCTATAAATGTTTTATGTTCACACACAGTAAAATAATTTAGTAAAAGAGAATGGTATGCAAAATTTTCTGGTAAATGACATCTCTATTCGAGATCATGTTGCGATTAGCTGTAAGCATAGAACATTTTATTTTACTTCATGACCGTCGGTGAACAGCCAACCCCATTTTTACGTTCATGTTCAACTCCGTAGTCTTGTATATATAACCTAATCCAGAAGACCAGGGAACATCCTATATAAATCATTGAGAGAAATGTTCCTCCACGGAGGACTTTTTGATGCAACTAACCCGCATTTGCGTTATATATAGAGGGAAACCACGAAGCCCTACCACGGTTAGCCTGACGGCAAGGGTACTCTAACCCATGATTTGTCTACCACTGAGGATATTTTACGTCAGCACTGTGGTTGGTGCGAGCTGGGTGCGGAATTCGAATCGACGAGCTATGGCTGGGATCGAGCATCGTGTCACCACATTAGAAGGCGAGCTCACTATCATCTGAGCCACCACGGTTCAAGCATAGAACATTAGCTTATTAGGCAAAACTTTCAAATGAAATGGTTTTTAAGGAGTAACAATATTTTGTAAATAGCTTTTTGTTGTTTCCACAGATCGCACGCACTCTCACTGAATTTATCACTCACACCTATTCAACTTGCTGAAATGCTTTTATAATACATGAGTCTTAATTCTGTTTTTTCAGTAGGACCTTTGGGAATATGCAGTGCTTCTGATTGCACCAGAGCAGCAAAAATAAAATGTTTGGATTGCAGAAATACAGCCTATTGTTCTAAACGCTGTATGCAAAATGATATAAAAGAACATAGACGTGCTTGCTATAGTAAGTATAAGGTTTGTTGTTATCGTAAGTGCGGATATAGCTTTTGCCATTTGAGATTAACTCTTAAAAGTGGTTGGATAAATAAAAATTTCCACTTCGAAATAGGCCTTCTTTTAGAGCAAGGGACGACGTGTTCGTAACTTTTTTCAGATTCATCTCCTTAATTGGCTGGTGCTGAATAAGGGTTAGCACCACCGCAAACTTTTCAAAAATTAAATTTTTTCTTTATTTTTTTCACACTGTTTCAGTTCAACAATGAATTAAATTATTGACACTTTAAGCTAAAATATCGTACAAATTTGCTGCAATCGTAATCAGGTTAAATTGAGCAATTTTTCGCTCAATTTGTATTACATTGTCGCATAGTTCAACTTTTCAACATTGAACCATAATATCGATGTCTTGCTCTATAATATCGATATCTTATAGATCTATAATATTGAATGTTGCAATATTAATAAGGTGTAAAACTGAATAATTTTCCCGTTCAGTCTGAATTTCAATGTCAGGTAGTAAGAAGGATAAACGCTAACTTGTATGTTGCTTTAATTCTTAAAATGGTTTAATTTCCAACTACCATACCAACAATTTGCACCAACAACTACCAACAATCGGCACCATATCCAGGATGAGGTGAACTTGAATAATATTAGGGTTTGATAAGCTACAAAATATTTCTAGTGTAGTATGTGCTGAGTTTAAATCATTTTTTTAAATCTAGAACTTTAGCAGAATTAAAGAGAATTGGTTTATGTCACTTTGCCTGTATTTACGAATCTTTAAACTTTATTCGTTTCTAAAAAAACAAAACTTTTCAAACTTGTAAAAAAGATATTAGGTTAAATGAATTTTTTCATTCGTTTTTTTCTGATTCGAGGTATTACGGTAGTGTGGAATTCCTTTTTTATCTGTTTTTTTTTATAAGCAACAAAAGTTAATTTTTTAACAGAAATAAAGCTTATTTTCCTCCGTTATACTTCTTAAGAATAAATTTAATACGTATATTCAATAGATTTAAGGAAAAACAAATACTTATAACGATAAGCTTCAAAATTTAAAAAAAGAAATTCTATATTCGAAAACAATGCCGGGATTTTCAAAAGACTTTTGATAAATAATTTTTTTTATTACTGATTACTTTTTATTATTATTCATGGACTTTGTGGTTTTTAATACCGAAAATCTTTCTTTTTAAAATCTCAATGCCAGCTAAAAAATGAAATTAATAAAAATTATTAAGATTAAGACTTTTTTACGCATTTTTTATTAAAATAAAGAACAGTTTTTGAGCAGATTCGAATTCTAATGCTGTCTGTATGCCGATTTATTGAAATCGTAAGCTGTTAGATATTTTGAGGTTCATTAAACCGTAATATTATACAAATTAACATCAGCCTAAGTATGGTGACCGTTGAATCATAATAGTATCGAGTGAATTAAATCATTTAATCACTGATTACAGGACATTAGAGTTCAACTTAAATAAATAACATTGTTCAATTGAACATCTCATTTAGATATCAGCAAATTTGCATGATATAATTCTTATTACGGTTTCTTATTATCGAACCTTTAATAATTATTAATAACGGTTCTACTTTATTAAGTTTTTTTTTTCTTATTTAAGTATTAATATTAAGATCTAAGATTGAACCGATTTTGTGCGAGTGTATGAATCAAAAATCCTTTTGAATTTAATAAACTGAGAAAAAAAGTATGGCTTAAGTTACCAGAATAAGGTAAAATTAACCATGTTTCCCGCTCTTTGGAAGAATAGAAAAAAGTTCGGTAATTTTTACCAAAGAGCCTTGGTAATAATTTTGGTTAAATTAACAGTAAAATGAGGTTTTATAATCGGAGATAAAATGTGGTAAAATTTGGGTAATTTTTTTGTGATACTTTAGAGCGTGGCATAAAAACTAATTATTCGTTTAAATATATTTTTCAGTTTTATATTTTCTACTAAATGTGTGGTAATAAGAATTACAATTTTGAAAACAAGGATTTCCGATAAACTGTTACCGTATGAGGAGGAAATAATTGGTTTATTATCCATAGAGCAAAATGGGTGTTGTTTTGAGTTTGATGGCGTGCGCACCTTGTTTGGACGTTATCATACTTTTCAACTGTCTTCAAGAGTAATGGCAAAGAGTGCGCATGCGTCGTAATTGCATGCGTTGCTATGGCGACCGCTGTTGTTTGATACATTTTTTAGATTTCTTTTTTTAACTTTTAATTTTGTAACGCATTAAGTTAGTGAGTTTATTTTTGAGTTATGGGACCAGAGAGATCCCGTAATACTTCTTGAGTTGTGAATAAAAGAGAATTTCATCATTTGAACGATATTTTTGTTTTTATTGTTTTAATTAAGAATCGGAAATTCTAACCTACAGTTCAAACTGGATCGTTTTCAATACTAGTTCAGGTGAATATCACAAATAAAGAGGGTAAAAAAGAATAGACCATTTTGCCAATGGGTAACCTGTGATCCCCTTCCGGCAATCGCAATTTTTTAGAAAATTGATTTTGAAAATTAAAGAAATTTCAATGATGAACTGCTTCTCTTAGATCTAAATAATTACAAATAAGTGCAAATAGTTTTTTTTATTTACCGTAGTTTTGGTTTTAAGACTTAAATTATGTTTTTTCTTCTTCACCAGAAATGTCATTACCTTATAGTGCGGTAATTTTACAAGAAATTTTTTTTTCACCGTGTTATTTATATCATATTTTTACTATGCTATTTACTATGAAACAAACATCATGGATCGAAATTTTAAAGAAGTTTTATTTTTCCATTTTAAAGAAAAACAGTTCTCTTTATCTTACATTTTAACGAACTCTCATTATTATTCTTTTTCTTACTTTGCATACAATTTGCTAACAAAAACGCCTTTTTTTATTATTAAAGCTTATTTTACAAAACATTTTCAGCATTTCTGTACTTTTTTTTATTCTTTAATAAACGATAGAGGAGGAAAATATAACAGCTCGACGCAAATTACATCGAATAACGGATATTATTTGAAGAATTGAGGTTTATTCTTATGAGAAAAAGAAAATACTATTGAGACTGGTTCATTGAAAGCAAAATTTATCACTAATGAGGAAGTTCTTTCCCTGTTCGTGAATTCCATTTGCCCAAGTTACATCTTTTATTTGCCAATAGTGTTTTCAACTCCATTTACTCAAATTTTCTCATAAGTAGAAACTGGTGGAAACAAATGATATTCTAGATGCTTGCAGGTTACTTATTCTATAATTTGCATTTGATAGGCAGAAATAACATCATAAAAAAGAAAACAATCCAATATTATGATGTTTTAGAAAGAATTTATTACATTTTTAGAAATTTTTTTCAGTTTCATACACTATTATATAGAGAGTTTCAAAATCATTTTTAATTTTATAGCCTAAGTTTTATTATTATTATTAGAACGCCAAAAAGTTGTATTTTTTACAGATGAACTTCGGTAATGATTTCGGTGATATTAGTTATAAAACATGATTTTATGATGTGTGATAAAATTTGTAAATCTGGTGAAATTTCGTGATACCTTTGAGCATGGCATAAAAACTCTTCATTGGATTAAATTTGCTTTTAAATTTTGAATATTTTTACTGAATGTGTGGCAATGAGGACTGAAAACGAGAATTTCCGGTAAACCTATATGAAAGGAAAAAATTACTAAATGGATGGTTTAAATTCCTTACATAATGGTTTTATTAATCAGAATTATGTTTTTCTTTTATAAGAACCTTCATTACCTTACATAATTGTAATTTTATCTGAATTGTTTTCTCCGTGTTTGAATACGTACGTAAAATTTCAGAAATATCTTTTCAACGTCAAAGTATAATGTCGCTATCTTGAAGTATAACACTATGCAAAACTGGTCTGTGTATTAACTTAGAGTTAACTAAAAAAGCACCAGTTTGCCTGACTAAGCCTATGCAACTCCGAAAAACGTAACATCATTCAGTCAGAGCCGTCAATCGGAATATTGTTCAAATATCTAAAGATCTTTAAGAATGGTATTAACTCAATTTAACAACGCTCAACTTTATATTACCAAGGTAATCCAAATCACGGTGCAAAATAAATTATTTTAAAATGCACACAATATTTCACTTGATGCTAACTTAATTTGAATTGAAAAATGGTTCAACTCAACTTCAAAAGGGTGGTTACATCATTATGGTTCAGTCTAATGATTCTAAGGGACAACGTAAAAATTATTTTTCTGATAGTAAATTGATTTCTCTGATAACTTTTACAGGAAGTAAAGCTTACACTACAATATTATATTTGTAACCAGGTATTTTAATTTTATTCATTTTTTTAAAGAATTGGATATCGAACATTATTTTATTTATTAACACTTTATTTATTAATACTTTAACATAATTTTATTCATAAAAAACTTTTTAGTTTTAATGTAAATTTAAAAAAAGTACTTCATTTAGCTTGTTTTATAATATAGGCTATTTCCACAAATTGAATTGCAGCAGAAATAGTTAAATGTGACGAATGTAGTGAGTGCATCGATGCTATTGTAGACGCTCACGGAGCGCTCATGTAAACGGAATTTTTCCCAGATCAGTTTGTGATATAAAATTCCCTACATGAAATTTCTTATGATGTTTTGATTGCATTTTGAGTATTTGAAAGTGAATAAAAATTCAGCTATATTAAAAAAATAAAATAAAAAATTCTTAAATAAACTTTTTTTTTAGATTTTTTATTTTGTAATTGATTTTTAGGCAAAACGATATAAAAAATTTATTTTGTTAAAATTATAAATTTCCACATTTTAGTAGAAGAATTGTCTGGTAAACCCATTCTTACTGTAATAAGCAATCTAAAGAAAATGAATTTCGATTTTCCTCTACTGCAAAATTAAAAAACAAACTAAATTCAAAAATACAAATTTATATCGCTGAATAATCTGTTTTAAAATGACAATTAAAAAAATACAGAGAATAATTGAGTATGCGAGAAAATTCAGTG